TTTAAAAACCCAATCCAAAAATGGGCATCTAAAGTGAATAAACACTTCTCAGATGAAGAAGTAGAAATAGTAAATAAATATATGAAAAAATGTTCAACATCACTCGTCATTTAAGATATACAAATTAAAACAATGCTGAGATTTCATTTCAGTCCATAAAGAATGGCTATTACGAAATCAACCAAGAACAAATGCTGACAGGGCTGTTGAGAAAAAGGAACACTTTTCCACTGTTGGTGGAAGTATAGACTGGTGAAACCACTATGGAAATTAGTGTGGAGATTCCTCAAAAATGTAAAACTAAAGGTTTCATTTTTCCCAACTATTCCCCTCTTGGTATCTTTCCAAAAGAATTAAAAGCATCATACCACAGTGATATATGCACACCCATGTTTATAGTGGCACAGTTTGTAATAGCCAAATTTTAGAGATAGCCCAAATGCCCATCAACCAATGAATGGATAAATAAGATGTATTTTTTATATGATGGAGTACTACTCTGCTACAAAGAAGGATAAGGTTCAGATATTTCTAGCTAAAAGGATGCATCTTGAGACCATAGTCTTAAGTGAAATATATCAAACACACATGTTCAAATATCTCATGGTTTCTCTGGCATGAGGAACAAAAAATATAAATGGGTAGTGGGAAATGAGAAGAAAATGTTCAGATGGGAAGGAGAACAAGAGCGTGGAAGAGGGGAAGAAAAGAAGGGACAAGAAAAGAATAGAAGGAAAAATAGAGGCAAAGCTTTTATAAATAGGAGGGAAAGAAGTGTGGTAGGGAGAGGAGGGGAATGGGAAAAAGGAAGAATTAAGGTATATCATTTATAGATACAAACTCTCTATGATGAATGTTATCATTATGTATATCTAAAATATACCAATAAAATGGAAAGTAAAAAAGAATGAGAAGAAGCAGAAAAGCAAATAGGTAAGTAAATATAATTAAAACTATATTTTCCTCTTATGATTTCTAAAACATAAAAATAAACCATCTGGTGGAGTTCTATACATACAGAGGCAACACATATGGAAAGATAGAGAAAGACAGTGATAAACCTACATGATTGCAAGTATTTTTTCTATAGCTTACTTAAAATAGTGTAATTTTAATACACGTAGACTGTGAACACTTACATAAGTATACTGTAAACCAAAAAGCAACTACCCAAAGGAATATATCCAAACATAATATATGAATTAAAATGCAATACTAGAAGAAGTTCAGATAATGTAAAAGAAAGCAAAAAAGTAAGAACATAAATACCCAGGGAATAAAAAGAAAAGAAATAAAGAAGCCTAAATACGCCTATATCTATAATTACATTAAATGTAAATTCTCTAAACAGCATAATGAAAAGGCAGAGATTATCAGAGTAGAATTTTTAAAAAGAGACCTAATTTGTGTTGTCCACAAGTAATCCACTTTAAATATTACAAGAGAGATTGACAGGAAAAAGATGGGGAAGCGTATATAATACAAACACTAATCAAAAGCAGGCTGAATGGCTACATAATCTGAGATAAAGTATGTTTCAGAACAAACATTATCAGGGATAAGGGGCGTTACTACATAAGGACAAAGAGCAACTTATTAAAAAATATAATTTTAACTGTATTTGCTTGTAAACAACAAAGTTTCAAAACACATGAAGCAAAAATACTCAGAAGTAAAGGGAGAAATAGACAAATCCACAATTCTACTTGGAAATATCAGTGTTTCTTTCCCAGAAATTGCTAGACTTAGTAAAGAAAACCAGTAATGACTTAGAAGACCTTATAATATTATTAACCAATGTGATTGAAATTTATAAAATATTCAACAGCAGTAATTGACACATTCCTTTGTAAGTGATCTTGGGGCATTCACCATGATATATGGGGGCAAAAAAACCCCCATGAAACTGAAAATAAGTGAATCTTACACATATCTTTTAAACCACAACAAAATTTAAAAGTGCTATACAGTAGCTCACTTTGTTATCTCTTGGTATGTTTTCATTTTTTGACTTGGGAGAGTATACTGCTATGTAATCAAGACTGTTATAAATGACTTCAAAGCTTAGTAGTCACTTATCTGCTATTAAAGAATGTTTTTGTGCACACTGCAGGTATGATTCTTTTTAAAAATAAAAATATATCTAAAAGGCAAATAACTGTCATTGTAATTCCAATGTTTTAGAATGTAACAATAGTTTCATAGCCATACAGTATTTCACCTCCTGACTTTAGGACACAGAATGCAATTATTTAATTCTGGAACATTCCACTTTTTGTTTGATTTACAATCAGAGAACCACTAGTTCCACTTTCATTTTAAAACATTCTTCTTTCAAACATCAATCTTTGAGTGAGCAGTTTTGTCTCACAAATATTTAACATATCTCAAACATTGAATAAAACTGCAAACAGGCAGAGGAGATAGCTCAGTGGCACAGATAGCTGCCTGGCAAGTGCAAGGTCCTGAGTTTGATTCCTGGCACCAAAAAAAAAAAAAAAAATGCAAACAGGAACTGGGGATATAGCTCCATGGTAGAACAGTTGCTTAGCATGCCCAGGCCTTAGGTTCAATCCCTAGCACTGCAAATACTGTACACATACGTATACTGTATTAGTCACTTTCCAGTGGCTGAGACAAAATACCCCACACCTTAGAGGCAGTGGGGTTTATTTTGGCTGAAGTTTCAGAGGATTCAGTCCATGGTAGATTGGCTCCAAGGCAGAAATGGCATAGCAGAGGGGCATAGCTGGGGGAGCCAGGAGGGAGAGGGGGAAAGGGAGAGAAGGAGGGAGAGTGAGGAAAGGGAGGGGGAGAAGGAGAGGGAGAGAGAGAGAGAGGGAGGGGGGTAGACTTTCCAGGTCACACCCTCAGTGACCCACGTCCAACCAGGCCCCACTTCCTAACAGCACACTGAGGTGTGAACCCATCAGAGTGATGAGCATGGCACGCCTAGGATCCAATCACCTTTCAAAAGACCAACGTCTGAACACATGAGACTGGGGGATATTTGGACCTAAACTATAATATATATGTATTATATATAAAAGATACAATGTGTATAAGATATATGTAACGCTAACACCTTTGCAAACAAGACAGATCAGACCAGTGACAACCAAATTAGTCACAGGCCTCAACTGTGAATTAATAAATGCTACTCCTGCACCAATGAATACTGTGAATCATTTGAGCACTAGACAATGGCACTATCTGCTGTGACATTATTTCACAACAAAAATCACATAATATAACCATGTAATTAGCATGTAATCATGTAATAGCATTTTCTTACTCATTAAAAGTAATTTTTTTTTTGTATTTTTGAGACAGGGTCTCATTATGCAGTTCAGGCTGGCCTTGAGCTCACCTTGTAGCCCACGCTGGCCTCGAACTAACAACAATCCTCCTGCCTCAGCCTCCCAAGTGCTGGAATTATAGGCGTGCGCCACTACGCCTCGCTAAAATGTAAATTTTAGAAAGAAAATATCACTAGTGTAAATTTTCCCCACCAAATACTATTAACATCTCACAGAACACTGTGCTTGAAAACATGATTTGAAAAATACTACCTTAAGGTCTTAAGGTTTACTTTGACTAGCAATTCCATGTTGATTTTAATTCCCTGCTCCAGAATAACACAGTGTTCTGACACTGCTGAAAAACATTACTTCAAGAAAGTATTTAGAAATATAGACCCCTGAAATGTGAGATGAAAACCAGCACTAAAGGAGGAAAAGAAAGAACGCACAGGACATGCAGTCAAGTCAACTATGACCACGGGGAGGAATGGATCTCAATTTTTTTTTTTATTTTAAAGAGAGTAGTAAATGAGTAACAAACAAACAAAGAAACAGAACAGTAGCAGCATACCAGTATCACAAACAGAAACAAATCAAAGTAAGAACATTCAAAGTGATACAGAGTCTTAAGACAAAGTAATACGATCTCCTTTAAGATTAGGTTAGGGACGTGTGGTATTCGGGAACACTGCCCTTGGTCAGGTTTTTGCTCCGTTGGACTGTAACATCTCTAGAGTGGGTCGCTTCCAAGTTCTCTACTAAAAAATTCAAGGAGGGACCATTTTTGGAAGACTTGTGCAGTATCTCAGACTTGGCATCTCTGCTCTTACGGTTTTTCAATACAATAAAAGACCACTAGGGGGAGAAATTCGCAGAGGACTGGACTTCTATCAGTAGTAACCTCAAAAGTCAACAGATCCCATTCTCCAGGGGGGGGGGGAAGACTTCTGTAATACACACCATCAAGATACCACTTTCAAATTAATCAACAGGCAACACAGCTTTTCTGAAGCGGCTGTAGGCTTTGCACCGGAAAAACCTACCTATTCGGAGCAGTCAGAAGTGAATTCTACACACTGATTCAAAACAGGAAAAGAGGGGTGTGGCACAGCAAAAGGGTTCCCTTCTGTCAGTCAAAGGATTGCAGGGGGCTATGGCAGTGCGTTCTACCTTCCAGATGGGCTACACCTTAATCCAATATTGGCACAAGGACACGCAGCAGCTCTTTGCAAAAGGTGTTCTTCCAAAAATCCAGAGCCACTTTTGGCTAGCCAGGCGGATAGCCACCGCGTCCTCTTCGCTATGCCCCCAGCTAATCTCGTTTCCTCCACTATGCGCGTAAAAGTCAATAAACTCATCACTTGCTTCCAACATTCCTTTCTGTAGCTCAACCCTTCCCCGCCTGCCGCTCGTAGAAACAAATATACGACTCCTACGCTGTCCTAGGATGACACATCAGCCTCAGTACTGCAAAAGGCGGAACATTAAGCAGACACACGCCTGAGAAGCAACACCAACAGCATCCCACTCCGGGCGGAAAAGCAGGGCGCAGGCGCAGTGACAGACTGTTGCCAGACGTGCCCACTTCGCCCGCCTCCTCGCCTTAATTTCACTTCCGCTCCTTTGCACCTCTGCTTCCGGGGCATTTTAGACTCGGCTCCTCCTCGGCTTTTACCCTCCTCTGCCCGAGGAGGGGGGGAGGCGAGGGGGTGGGGAAGAGTTCGTTGTTTGTTTACACGATGTGAGCGGAAAAAGAGACCAATAAAGTTTATTCTGGAAACAAAAGAAAAAAAAAACAAGGGCGACAGAGAAAGGAGACGGGGGCGGGGGCGTGCGTCGGGGGCTTGCAAGAAGGAGAAAGCGGCAGTTCCGGTGCCGCCGCTGAGGTCTGGGGCTGCTGCCGCCGCGGCCGCTGGGGCTGGGGCTGGGGCCGCCGGCGAGGCAGGGCTCAGGC